CAGGAGTCCTATTTATATAACTAAATTATAAGCTTAGGATATAATAATAGCCTAATATTAGATAATCATCTTTTTATTTTCTTATTAAAATCTTTAACTAGTGAGAGTCCTTATAATAATAGATTAATATTCTCTAAAAATATATTATTCTTATTTACTAAGTTTTAACTTTTAATATAAGATAACTATATATGATGCTAGCTTAGATGGTTATAGTATAAGAGAAGGCCTGCATACATATTTTAGTATTAAAATTCTATGGGAGTTTCTTTTATGGGAGTTTAAAAATAAAGTGTCATCTATAATTCTTATATAGGAATAATATAATGCTTATTTAAAGATTTTATTATATACTTATCTATAATAGATTCTTGAATATTACATATAACTTTCTAAAGATAGAAAAGAAAACAAGAATTATTATAGATACTCTATCTAGAAATAGCCTACTTATAAGTTTATAAAGGGGAGTATGATTCTTTATAATAGAGTTAGTATATAGTAATATTTATTTTATAAGAGTAATAAGAGAGTCTTAAGAGGCATGAAAAGAAAGAAAAAGAAGCTAATAATTATATAATAAAAATAATAATATAAATAATAATAGTTTTAAGCTTATTTATAGTTAATTGTCTAGAATATTCTATCTATATTTACTTAATGCTAGATTTATCTATAGATAAGATACACCATATTATTTAACAATTCTATACTTTAGATTATGTTTATAAGATAAGCGACTAAAAGCTTATTATTTATATATAATAGGACATTTATTAGCTTTAATAAATCAATAAAATTTAGTCTAAATACCCTTCTACTTCAGAGACTTTCTAAATTAATTCTTAAATATATACATATAATCTTTCTAATTTTTATTATAATCAATATACTAATACTAAATAAAGTGCATTTATTCTTAAATATAATAGTCTTAACATATTTTCTTTATTATAATTAATAATATATTAATAAGTTTTAGAGCTAGCATACAGTATTCTTTAGATAACTGATCAGTTAATATAACATTTATAATAAATAGTGTTCTTATTTCTTAGAATAATAATTCCTTTCTAGTGAAAGTAGCTGATAAATAAACTAAAAAAGATATTACTTGATTTTACTATTAATATATTTTCTCTTTATTAAAATTAATTAATAAAGAGATATCTATTTTATAAAAATAATAAGAAAGCCTTAAGAGGTATGATTATATGGCCTTATACCTAGATATTAAAGATACTATCTAGTATTTCTATATATATAATTAAGCTTAAGCAAAATTAATCCTTATAAAGAGTATAAAGCTAGCAGTTATATATTCTTAAATAAGCCTAGAATAGTAATAGCTATATATTAGCTTTCTAGCTTAGCTAAAAATCTCTACTTTAATATATATATAATTACTAATCTATATCATGCTATTTTAAGATATTTAATAATAAGATCCTTATTATAATAAAACATAAATTAAAAAAATAAAAGATTCTTTATATATCTATCAACTAGATCTAATAGTATATATTTCATAATAATCTTAACACTAGAATTAAGCTATTAGATTTATTCCTCTAGTATAAAAGACATTTACTTATTCTAAATAACTATCCTATATAGAAATAATATCTTAAATTATAAAAATCTTAGCTCCTATAAGTCTCTAATATCATTTATATATAATATTAATAATTTCTAATATCAGAGATCCTTCTCTAGATTAGAACAAAATTATACTATAAGCCTTATATATACTAACTGCACATTTCTTAACTCAAGAGAGCCAGATTTAAAATATATAATAACATGTCTTAACTCTAAACATTTATTAATATAATTATATAAATATTATATACAACTATAGATCTTAAATTCTAGAGTTATAAATAATATTTAGAAATACTAAGCAATAATTTAATCTAACTAATATAATAATAATAAATTAGAACTAATAATCTCTTTAAATAATTATTAAAGCCTTTCTTATAGACTTAGATAGTCAACTATTACTAATAAAAAACTTTATATAAAAGAAAACCCCTCTATATATAGTACATATAAAAAAATAAATAATAAGTAATTATAAATACACCCTTAATATATTATAATCCTATTATTTTAAAAACTATAAAAGAAAAGCTTATATTTAAAGACACACAAAAAAAGATTAAGGTCTACTAGCTAATTTATTTAAGACTAGCTTAGTCCACTCTAATAGATTTAGAACTATAGCTTAGAGTAAAATAGATAGAGATAATAAATTATATTATTCTAAATTAAACTTTAAATCTCTAAGTCTCTATAGCCCTAAAAATTTTTGACTTAGCAATTACAGTATTAGGAGTAACTTGACTAGTTTTAATATATATTTATGTGGGAAAAGCAAATATCTGGAATTCATTAAAGATATTATTGATAGCTATAATATAATATCTAGATTGTCTAATAAAAGACCCTAAAAATAACCAGAATTAGTATTTAATTAATAAGTTAATAATTTATATAAGTAAGTATAGAAATTATAGTACTTACTAATAAGACTTATAAACTTAACCTCTAAAGAAGACTTGTTAGGTTTTTTATACTTATTATAATATAATAATAAGCAAATAATAATCTAAATACTACTAAAAAATCTTAAAGTTATAGTTCTTGGTTTATACCAAAATATAGAAAGAATCTAGATAAGACTAACATCTTTATAGACACCTATTTAGATATCTATGGCTAGAACTAGCCCTTAATATAGATCTAGATTATTAATAAGTATAGCATAGCTTCTTAAATAATAAAAGTAAATTTTTAAACCACTTAATATTAAAGCATTTTACTAGTATCTAATATAAAGAAATCTCTAGAAGTTCTTCTAATAAGTAAGCCCTTACTCTACTTTTTAAATAAAACTATTCTTACTTAGCTTCTATTCCTGTTTTGCTAGTATATAAAGCTAAATAGGAATAGTATATTTCTAATCTACCCTATCTATAGTCAGAGAGTCAGTAGTTCTTATTATTTCATCATTACTATTATAATAATAACAATAACAATAAATGCATAAATCAGTAGTCAGCTCATGGAAATTGTTAAAGAGACTTATAACCATATTAGATCTATAGGATAAGTTAATCAAGTACTAGAATAAGATCTTATAGTAGACAAACTCCTATATACAAATCTATAATATTATATATTAATTATTAAAGTTTCTACAGCAGTTTACAAGCCTATTAAAAGAACTCCTAGCTTCTTTACAGAAAATCATCAATAATAGCTAAGGCATTAATAATAAAAAAGATAAACTTACAAATTATTATATATATAAAATTATATTAAGTTTAAAAAAACCAAGACTCTTTCCTAATATTGAGAAGTATTTAGTTAAGTGATAAGAAAAACTAGAGAATATTATTAAATCACTAAATAAAACTTCTAATAGGAAAATCTTTCTTAAAATATTCTTCTATTAGCTTTACAACTTATATATTTTATACAATATTAATACAATTTAATAGAGAGTCTTTTTAATATATTTATTCTATTTTAAACAAAGGTTTAATTATTATTATAATAATAACTTAATTAATATTCTATCTAAACTTAATACTTTCTCCCAAATACCAATCCATAAGTTATAATATTAGGCCAATATTTTAGACAAGTATAAAAAGCTGATAATAAATCTTAAAGATAGAAATATTATTTATCTTCCTAATATTAATAATTCCATATAAATGATCTAAAATATTATAGATAGAAATTCTAACTTTTCATTAAAATATAACTAGGAAAGTCATTTTCCATTAGAAGATAAGATACGTAATAGATATATAAGATGGCTTATAAAAAAAGGAATTATAGATAAGGCAGATTATAATATCAATAATAACCCTCACCATCATGTTAGCATAAAAACTACTTACTATTAAGTTATTTAGTACATCTTAGAACATCTCAAAAAACATATATTTATCTTTACTTAAATTCTATCTTTTAGCCTTATATAAATTAGTAAATATCTATTAATTTCCTATTATATAACAAACAGAATCTAATTATATTTAGAGATTATTAAAAACCACCCTTACATTACTATTACTCAAAAGTAACTATATAAATCTTTTTCAGCTTTATTATCTTCTGTGTACTTTACTTCCTCTTAATTAGATATATTAAATAAGATTAAGGCTAATAATTAATCATTTATTTTAATAAAAGATAATAATATCAAATAATCTAATCTAAAATGTTCATATCTTGACTATAGTACTGTAAGACTATATCTTAAAATTATTGTTTCTCAATATAATTCATACTTAGATCTATAGATACTTAATCCCTCAGTAAATATTATACATTAATAAAGAAGTTTATTAAAAAACTATAGATATAAATATTATTTAGCTAATACTTTATAATTTAATAGTACAAGAGAAAAAACTCACACTATAACTAGTAAATTTTGATTACTAGCTTTACAGCTATTTAGTAGTATAAATATAAACAAGATAACAGATATATCTTTATTATTAATCAAACACATTTCCTCTACCCCAGAATACCAATATAATAACAATACTACCTTTAAATAGATAAATAAAATAGATTAGAACATAAGAATAGATTAATAGAACTTAAACTTAGCTAATTAATTTAGATTATTTATTTTATAACTATCTTAATAAGACATTATACTTAATATAGCTATAATTAATTACAGCTTTTTAGCTACTAAATTATTTCCTTAAATAGATAATATACATATATTTTCTTTTAATTAAACTTTTTAATCTAAATCTTAAATAATAAATCTAACTAGACATATCTCTACAGAATATAATCAAGAAATTAATGCCACTCTTAATCAATTAAATATTAACTTAACTCTCAATATAACTTCCCTTCTTCCTATATATAGGGGCTATCTATCAAGCATGTAACATAGTCAGTCTATTATAAGCCATAATAGCATAATCAGCTAATATAACAAGCCTGTGTATTCTACCATGGGCCATAATGGCATGATTAGCCAATATGGCGAGCCTGCATTTTCTGCCATAGGCCACAATGGTATGATCAGCCAATATGGCAAGTCTGCGTTTTCTGCCATGGGCTATAATGGCATGATCAGCTAATACAGCGAGCCTGCATTTTCTGCTATGGGCTATGATGGCATGATTAGCCAATATGGTAAGCCTGCGTTTTCTGCCATGGGCTATGATGGTATGATCAGCCAATACAGCGAGCCTGCATGATTAGATGTCTTATTAAATTAGTCACTAATATAGAAAAATCAAGTCTTTATTATATCCTATTCTTATAATCTATAAAGATAGTATTATTATTGATATTAATAGTGTTCTAAATTCTGTCTTTAATTTTACTATATTTTAGATATTATAATTGCTTCTAGCCTACTGCTAATCTTAAGTCTTAGCATAGTTTTGCTTAATATATAATAGTAATAACACTTATCTATAATTATATTCCTAAGCTCAATCTTCCCTAAAACATACAGTAATATAAGAATAATAAATAATTTAATAATTATATTTTCTAAGAAGTAAACAAATCCTGTTTAAAGATAATTCAATATTTTTATTAGCTTCTCTTTGTATAGTTCAGGCTAAAAGATAATCTAATAATAAAATTAAATTAGAAAGTATATATAATCTTAGATAAATTTATCTACTAAGTATATTTATTACAAATAGAGTTAATAATAAAGTTATAATTTAGTATTAGCTGAAAAAATTTTATATTTATTCTCTATTTTAACTTATTAATTTTAATATATTCATCCTTAACTAAATCTCAAGTAGAATTATACTATCTTATAACCTTATTAAAGAAGATAAAAATAACATTAGTTACTACTATTATAATTTTATTATTATAGATAACTAGATTAAATGACTATCTAGGCTTATAGAAGATATAATTAATAAAAACTTAACTTATATAATATAGCTAAAGTTAATATATTATTAATTATTAAAGTCTTCTATTTCTCTATTAACCTTCTAATAATAAAATAATAACAACTTTCGCTCCTAAAAGAGATTTTAATTTTAAAAAGTATATAAGCTAATTAAATATCTATATATATAGAAAAAAAAATAATAAAATAATCTATTTTATAAGGCTGAGGGGCATTACTAAAATAATAAATAATAAAGATTCTTTAAGCAGTAATACTTTAAGAGGACTATATAACTTAAGATTTTAGGATTAGTAGAGAAGTAAAGATGTTTAATCTATAATATATTAAAAATTATATATATAGGGAATAAAAGCTATCTAGAATATATTAATTCATCTAGTAAAGTGATCTTTTTATTTATTATAAAATTAAGCTTATAGACTATACCTTACTGCTAGTGATTAGAGGAGTTTAATCTATTAACAGATGATAATCCTATTAGCCATAGAAGTAATGGCTTTTCTAAAAGAGGACTGTGCATCTGTAGATGATTGGTCTTATATTATAAGCAAGTAGCTAATTAATATTTGGGTGGTTATTTATACTTATAACTAATTTTATTATTAAAGTATTTCTATCATTATTACTATAGACCGGTTTTCTAGTAGAGTATTTAAGATTTTTTTTTTTTATTATTTTTAGTAGTTAGCACTTAAATTAATATAAGATATATTCTATAATAAAAAATTTATAAAGTAAAGTAATTAATTATAATAGATTAATTTGATTATATCTTATCTACTAAGAATAATAGATAATTAGGCGAAATAAGACTGTATAGTTATTATTATAAAGTTGAATAACCAGAAAACTTTAATATAATTATTATTATTTAGAAAAACAGCTTAAGAAGCTAGACTTAATATTATAGCTAAGTATATAAAGAATTAGTAAGCTAATTAGGCTTAGATTTAAGAGATTAAGGATTGTATAGATACCAAGAAGAAATGATAGAGAATTATAGCAGATATATGGTGAACTAGAATAGTAGAGAATAAAGATATTAAGAAAATATAAATTATTATAAATTATTATTAATCTAAGCTTTAAAGTATATATACTATATAGCATTCTTATTAGGCCTATTAAAACTTATATCTTTTAATACTCTTTTAAATATCTTCTGCAATTAATATTCATATATTTCTTTTTACTTTAATTTTATAGAAATAACTTTAGCTATATTAATATCCTAATATAGTGCTATAATCCCATTAAATTTCAAATCTGTTCTATACAATTCTATAAAAATTGGTTAAATATACTGGAGGAATATATTATATATTTCTTTAGGATTATTTAATAACTGAAAATACTAAAAGTTTCTATTTTTCTAGTCTCTTTTTATAATCTATATATAAAATAATGTATCACTATTTAAAAAAGAAAACAATCTCTTTTCTTTTTTAAAAGTAGCCATAAACTCTTCATGAATCTTAATATAATTATCTAAATATTAATCCCTTTATAGTTAGTCCACTGCTTAACTTATTAACTAAAAAGAGGGATATAATATTTTAATTAATAATAAGCATATTCATTTAAGATTAATTAAATATTTAATATGCTAATTATTATTAATAAAAATATTATACTAATATAAATTTATAAGATTAAATACAAAAAATCTATGCTAAAGATTGTAGTGAATAAAATGAGAGTAAATTGTTTATATAACTATTAAGACTGCTATCTATGCTCAACTATTATACTTATTATAAATTGAATTAGGTTAATATCATATATAATTATTATAATATGCTAAGAGATTAAGAAAGTATATTTCTATAGTAAAATAGATAAGATCTTTAATAATATTAATTTAAATCCCCTTATTCTTTAGATAATATAGTTAAAATATTAATAGCTAATTTAATAGAGATAAGATATTATAATTATTTATTGTTAAAGATCTTATATAGGGAAAAGGCGATTAAGATAATGATAGAATTATATATAAAAGATCCCTGAAAAGATTACTTTTTTTATTCTAATTACCCTAGAACTCTTCTTAAGATTAGGATAGCATTTATCTATCTATCTCTTTTATATAGTTTATAATAATATATCTAATCCTTAGATTATGGCATCTATAACTAATGTATCTATATAGAAAAGAATAATAGAGCTAGAATAATATCATCTATTAAGTATATTATATAAGTCGGCTAGTAAGAGAGGCCTTATAAAGTATAATAAACTTAATAAATTATAATTAGTACTTATTTTAAAAAAAGAACTAGGATAGTATATATTTTGATTACCTAGAAATCTAAATCCCTATAAATGAGATATTAGAATGGCAGAATAGTTTTTTTAAATCTAGATAAAAGCAGTAACTTCATAGTAGAGCTTCTTCTTAGTATTATCTAGATTTTATAATTCTCCTACCTTATAGGGTAGAGGAAATCTAATAAGTATCTATTTCGCGTGATAATGTGTTTATTTATTAATATAAACTGGTATATAAATATTAAAACTATCTATTATTTATTTATTAATATTACCTATTTAACACAATTTTACCTTGCTAAATCTAAGATAATATATTATAATTACTTTAATTTTCTAATAATAAATATATAAGTAGATAAAAAATTCAATTTATTATTTAAGATAAGATAGTTTTTAGAGTATATTATTATCATTCTTTATAGCTGATTTTAGTGTAATATTTCTCTAAAAAAGAGGTAAAGATCTTAATATAATTATTTAATGTATAGCATGAAAAGAATAAAAGGAAATATAATTTAAACTAATATATTATATAATAGTGGTAAGGGGGGTCTATGACCTACTTAATCTGATAAAAAGCTAATATCTTTACTAGTCTTTCTCTAATAACTCTAATATTTGGAATATTTGCTAGATTAAGAGTAAAGATTATTATATCTTTAATACAATTTAATAGTTCTCTATAAAATATTTATTCCATAATAAAATATTAATAAAAGAAATAATCTATTTTAGATTAGAATAAAATTTAGTAAGAGATTTCAAGAATATCTTCTATTAGCTAATTAAAATTAAGCCTATAAAAGACACAATTAAATCACCCTTATATACTAGGGTTAAAAAAGAATCTAAAAACCAATTTTAGACTATTAAATCTTAAGAACTTATCTTATAGATCTAGGTCTTTACTTGCTATAATAGATTATTATTTATTAATAAGATTATATTAAAAATAGTATAGATTTTATAGACTTAAAAATAAATAAAATAATAGTTTATCTAATTGTTACTCTTATAGTTCTTAAGAAACATTTATATAATTATAAGATCATTAATTATTATATAAATAATGTGAGTTCTAAGAGATATAATTGAAGAATTCTATATATTTAAAGGATTTTATATAAATAATTTTCTATTAAGTGCTATAATATTTATTAGTTTTCTTAGTCAATACTGATTATAGTATATAATATATATAGTTAATTACTGCATCTAAGTAATATTATATTAGAAGAAAAACTATATTAATTTATACTTTTATAGAAAATTATCTAGTATTAACTTTATTTAACTTAATCTTAATAACTAAAGTTATATTATTTTTAATTTTAAATTAGATTTAGAATAGTTCAGACTATTTATATATAGTAATTTAAGTAGAAGAATACAGTTTTTAGGATATAAATAATAAGGAGAAATCTATAATAGTAAATATAATATATTAGTAACTAAACACTTAATTTATTTAAAAATTTTTATTAGATTATTATCTATATAGTATTTAATACTATCTTAATAGCTTATTAAGATCCTTTATAAATGTAGTTATAAAGAATATACAGCTTTTAAGATTATAATCAAGTTAATAGTTAAACTGTTTTTAAATAATGATTAAAAGAGATTTCTTATTAGTATATTTTCTTTACTAAAAAGACTTACTAATCTTAGAAATATAAATCTCTAGTTAGAAACATTACTATATTTATAAGATAAATATAAATAGAGGCTCTAAATATAGCTTCTTGCCTTTAGCACTCTCACTAAAAAAGTCTATTAGATAGTAAAGCTAATTCTAATAGAGTCTATAAATCAAGAAATCCTTTAGTAATTACTATAAAACATCTACTTAATATATAAGAAATTCTTTATTTCTAACAATTTTAGCTATATTGATTTCTAGTCTGATGAGTATATTTAGAAAGATAGTCAGTTATACCTAAAATATATCTACTTAAATATAGGATATACTTTCTAGAATTATGACTGCATATTATAGAAATACTAAGGAGACATATATATATAATAATATATTAT